GAGCGTCTAGGATCGAATTCTTCGGTGGGTCATGAAGGTTAAACCTCCCATCATGGCCGACAGAGGGGAACTCAGTGCCACCCTCGCCCAGGGACACGAAGACGAATTTGCTCTTCCAACCATGTATGGATGACGACAAGTCCGTGAAGGTCCTTTTCTTCGGCAGCTGTTGCAGAGTGGCGTAACAGGCGCAATTTTTATGGCTGCCTCGACCAATCTGGTAAAGGTTCATGAATAGGGCCGTTGTCGGCCAGTAACCTAATTCAACACAACGGAGGAGGAACCCCACCATCAACGAGTAGCTGTTAGGGGTCAGCAAGGCCGGAGGGAGCCCCACCATGTCCAAATATTCCTAGATGAAGGGGTGAAGGGGAAACCTCAGCCCCTTGGCGAAGCTCATCGGATACACCCCGAAGTATCCCGGCGGCGGATTGAGCATGTGGTCCGTCGGCCTCGGCGCCCTGACCCTCCCAAACGGCCCCACATACATCTGTGCGACCAAATAATCAGCATCACTGCTCTCCGGCTTGATAAGTAAAATGTTGGTAAGGTCCAGGTAAGAGAAACCTGGCCCCTTCTTCGGCCGCGGTACCCCCTTCACAGCAGACACAGGCTTCGGGCATAGAATGGTAGTAGAGGCGGACGCCCCGTCCACTACGCGGGAGACCCCTGCGTCCTCACCCTCAGATGACGAGGCGGACCCTTCGTCCTCGTCCTCCTCGTCCACGTTATCTCCAGACTTATACGGGCTCAAATGTTCAATCTCCTCGGCGCACTCCTCGATCACATCATAGTCAAGAGACTTGACGGAGGGCTCATCGTCATACGGGTAATACTCCTCGTTCAAGGTTTTCATCTTAACAACTCCTAAGGCACTAAAAGGGCCTATTTTAGATCTAAAGTGTTTTTGTGACTAACACTGGATCAAAGCCTAGAGAGAGCAAAATATGTAAGAAATAGAAAAAAGGATTAAGGAACTGACCTTGAAGTTTTGAAGAAGGTGAAGAACACTCAGCAAAGGCTTTATCTCTCTAAAGGTTTGGGCAGCACTTCGTTACTCAGAATGCAAATGAAGGCTGTCCTCGGAACGGGGAGGGTATTTATAGCCCCCCTCCCAACGGTAACTACACGTGGCATCACCTTAGTGGCCACACCAACGGCCACCAATGGGATGCCACCATTCTGTCAATAGGCCAAACCCCCTCCACAGATCAGCGGCCCACCAACGAAGCAGGCCCTACGGAGCAAGGAAGGGAAAATAGCACCCACGACAGCCAACACAGCCAACAGCCATCCACGTTGCACCCGTATCGGCCATCTAAGCGGCCACGCATATTATACAAAGGAAGACTTTACAACGGCCACAATACCCCAAAGGAAAGGAACCCAACGGCCATGAGGCCCTCGCACTAAACCCTTGATGATAACCCTTTGAAAGCGACCTGCGTCCAAGGGTTCTCCCACAGGGTTACCTTGGTCAGGAAATCGCCAAAGGGTTGGATCCAAGGGCAGTATGAGGATCCCGCTTCGGCCTAGGCTTCAAGCTACTCCTTCATCCCTCACTCACTCTTCGGCCTGAAGCAGTGGGGGACTGGGGGACTACACCAGCCTCAAGAATGGCAGGCAAAATGAGAAAATAAAAATATACCAAGTCCACAACTACGACATCAGACATGCACCACAACATCAATAACATCGTGGTGCACCATCGGCCGCAACGAAGCTTGAGATCACAGGACGCTTATCGGTTTTGAGACCACACACCACTCTCAGCCAGGAATCAAAGAACAGGAGGCTAACGTACCTGAATCACCATCGTCCATGTACCACAACGGCTCCAAGGTCCTCACAACTCCATCTCCGGCCAGACAATGTCATCGTCCCCAAATAACTTGGGCAATAAGACGCCTTGTCCCCCAAAGGCACATGGTGTCATCGACAACGGCCAAAAGGAGTGCACAGCACCCTCACCGGCCATCCAGAACAATGGACGCTCGTCGTCCTCAAAACAAGACGCAACCCCAACGGCCTCATCAGCCCAAAAGGAAAGTTCAAACATCAACGATCAAGGATAGACGCTACCTTCATCGGCCACTCATACCAGAACACTCATCGTCCACAAACAAGCGCACCAAAGGAATAACAGCCTTCCCCGTCCACATCAAGGGCCAGGTAACGACCAAACTCAGAACAGGGCCACCAACGCTGACAGGGAACGGCCAACGTGGTCCCGCATCGGCCAAAAACATCAAGCATAGAAAATCTACTCTCCTTCACTTCGTCTGCATCTCAGCTTAGAGAGTGGGGGACTTCTGATGGAGTATATGGGTCTAGGCCCTAGGACCCACATACTCAGAAGAACAGAAGGTACAAGCCACTAAGCGGTGCCCTTGTCGCCCAGAGGACCCCCATCGGCCAAAGAGGGACCAACACAGAATATGATCCCGAAGCCAGGGAACCAGGGTGCCCTCATCGGCTGTGCCCTCATCGGCCGTGTCCTCGTCGGCCAGACCCTCATCGGTCACAGAAGCCTCACAGAACCAGATCTTACACTTAATCATTTCTACACACATTGTATTCGGCCCAATAGCGGTCCAGTTGTAAATGGGCCTCCCAAGCCCAAGGCTTGGGAGCCCAGCCCGTATTTTTCCTATAAATACTTTCTCTAGAGGTAGTTGTAGGGGTTACAAAAGCATTCTATTAAAGCATTTACTTGCACTTCTCTCTCTAGCTCTCACTTCTCTCTAGATATATACTCTATCAAAAACGTGTATATTGTGTTCTAGATTTGAAATGTGATATAAGATTACATTGACACTTAAAAACTAAAAGGTTTTTGGCTACATAGTAGAAGTGTTGTTTGATTTTTGAAAAACTGTCTGGGTCTAAAATAGTGTTAATTTTTGACGAATATTTCCCTCGTTGGGTACCCATGGATCTAGCCGGTCGGGGCGAGGGATGAGGCGGGTCAAATAGTAGTGGGGGATGGGACAGGGGTGGGGACGATTTTTAGACACAGGGGCGGGGATGGAGTAGTGGACCCCGCCCCAACCCCGCCCCTAAACACTAAATACAATCCAAGTAAAGCTCCAAACGGGGGCAAATTATACCGTACACCCGGATGTACGGTCCTCACCATACATCCGGCTATTTTTGCAATTAATTACAAATCTGGTGGTAAATATTAGGGATGGAGAAGGGATGAGAAAGCAGAGACGAAATCGGTCCAGATCGGCGGTAGTATGTATTTGTTGGTCATCGTACGTAGCGTGAGCCTGCCCGTAGTAAATTCCGGTGTTGTTGTTGGCTTTCTGGTCTTCTGGGCAGTGATGGTGTGACCTTTGGTGGTGTGTAAGATGTTGGGGTGGAGAGTTATCTTTGTCATCGTCCGTGGGTCGAAGGCCAAGAATAAAATTACACTTAGTGGGCTGACTGAATAAGGTTAAACAATTAATGGTGTAGTGTTGATTAAATTGGATTTGAGAATTCACTAAGGTTACGTCGTGTATAGGTTCAGATCGTATTCTTTTTCATTTTGAAAACAAATGATCATATACAAAAGATATTTGAGCACATTAATATTTCAAATGAGTATAATATCCAAAATGAATGAGCACACAAAAATGTGTTTTTAAATTTTTTGACACTCATTTCGTAAGTTGTGTATGCTCATTTGGTAGTAATGGTTAAGGGTGTTCGTCGGTTCGGTTTGGTCCGTTTTCGGTTTGGTCAGTTCGGTTTGGTCGGTTTCGGTTTTTGAAAAGGTGAAACCGAAAACCGAACCGCAATACTTGAGTCGGTTTCGGTTCGGTTTCGGTTCGGTTATTTTCGGTCGATTTGGTCGGTTTCGGTCGGTTTTAGCATGTTTTTTTTCGGTTTTGTCGGTCGGTTTCGGTTCGGTTGGTTTTTTAACCCAAAAGGTGAAACCGTAAACTGAACCGTCAATGATTAGTCGGTTTGAGTCGGTTTCGGTTTGAGTCGGTTTCGGTTTTGGTCGGTTCGATTTCGGTCGGTTTGTCGGTCAGTTTCGGTTTTTCGGTTTTTTTGTTCACCCCTAGTAATGGTATGATCATTTTAAAATGTCATATCAATAATGCATATTTTAAAATTATTATACTACATTAAATTCGCAGATGCTCAATAAAATAGCTCAAATACTCATTTAAAGTACATTATTGCTCATTTAGCGGAAGCCGTCCGTTTTCACTTACATTACAAAAATGACACCGAATTTTTTTGGCCTGAATCAGTTACTGGGCTGTCTCCCTTAATTGGGACGGGTGTACGTACACCCGGATGTACCATATAGGCACCCCCAAACGGGCACTTAAATATCCAATTGTTACACTACCCATCTCTAAAGCCCCCCAACCCCGACTGGACGGTACGTTGGGGATGTAAATTGGACTATAATCCCAATCTGACAGATAGAGAGTGAAGCTCTGTCCCCGATATTTGCAGAGATCCTATGCATTTTTAGCAATCCATCTAGGCCCCTCACTCCTCGGTTCGGTTGAGCTAGGCCATTTTTTTTTGTTACACTACCCATCTTCTTTTCTACGTTCAAAGACCGATGGGCGTAGCTCAACTGGTAGCAAGGGAGTGCCACAAGGGTTAGGTCCCGGGTTCGAATCCCGGCAACTGCGATGAAGGGTTACTATGCTAAAAATGCATAGGGTCTCTGCAAGTATCGGGGACAGAGTCCCACTCTCTACCTGTCAGATTGGGATTATAGTCCAATTTACATCCTCCCAACGTACCGTCCGGTCGGGGTTGGGGGCCCTCAGGGATGGGGTGTCATCCTTTTTTTTCTACGTTCAAAGGTGCAATTGATATTTTTGATTTGGACAATCTTTTCTTATGTCTTCTGCAATCCCTGGACTTGATTGATTGTCTATCAAAGCAAAGGCGACAATATAGGAGGTGTTTGGAATTGATTGTGCTTCTGTTTCTTTTTTTAAAGCTGAAGCATAATCAGAATCAGTTCTGCATTTTCAACCAAAACACCCAAACACCCATCAGGAGAAGTAGATCCAGCCGTTAGTCAAAGTGGCGACGCAAAGCCTCGTATTCTAGATTTTCTGTCAAGCCTTCTGATTCTAACTTCTGGACAATGGCGACCTACAATAATAATGTCTCAATTACAGTTTCCGACGGAGAATCCGACGAGCTAGCCGGGAGAATAATGACGCGAGCCCGCCGGAAGCGGAAGAAACCGATGAGCCGAGGAAAGAACCGATTCCCACGACGAGTCATCCAGCTGCTTCTCAAGTGGTGGCATGTCCCTTTCTTTGTTTTGGCTGCTGGACTTCTCATCTTTGAGGCTTCCCGTATCAATTGGAAATCTGGTCCCCATGTTAGAACAGATTCGGATCCGAAAAAACAGGAAATGAGAAAACCGTCTGAGAATTTGGGTCGTATGGATCCAGTAACTCATGTTCATGGTGGAGTTAGAGAACGTGAGTTTCTCCTTACAGTATTTCAGTAGTACGGAGTAGTTTTTACCCGTAGGTTGAAGTAATTGGTAATTGTAGTCTTAACTCTTAAGATGCTATTGTTTTCTTCTTCTTCTTTTGCCAATGAAGTATTTGTGTTTCAGTTGCTTAAGCAGGTTCTTATTTACTTCTTGCGCTCTAAGTACTATCTAATCCATAGTTATCTCCTTTTCAAAGATCCTTATTTAAGTAATTCTCCTGGACTATTGTTATTGAGTATTTTATTATAATTATAAGAACGCTGACATCCAACTTTCTACCTGACTTCTGTACTAATGAATAAGGAGTACATTTTATGGTGTAACTGTAATACAAAGCTGTATAGGTTCAAACTTTTATCAGTAACTATTAACTCAACAGAATTTGGTTTCACCTGTTGCTTACATGAGTTAGATTTGTCCATATAAAAGTGATTATCTTATAGGCCTTGTTTTGTCTTTATTGATTGTTTTAGGTTGCTTGAAGCTCTTATCTCCTGAAAAACTTGAGCAACTGGATTTTCCAATCGAGAATTCACATATCGAACCAATTAAAAGTGTAGTATACCTCTCAGATGCTAACAAAGGAGGTGACCTGGCACTGGTTCAACAATTCTCAAACTCTAGCAGATTTAATTTATTCACAGGAGGTCAATCACTTAAGCAAAGGGATGAAAGCTTTAAGGTTAGAAAATTTCACATTTTATTTTCACCTCCCACCGAGGTTTACTTTTAGAGTTTTATAGTTCTATCCGAGAAACAGTAAGAAAGAGCGTAGATATTTTTTCTTGTTTAGTAGGAGAGAAATGGAGAAGAATAGGTATGCAATTGAGACGAAACACATTTCTCTCCTACTTCTCCCTATTAGAGAGATGTGATGAAAAAGTGGTTGGACCACCAGTTTCATTCCTCTACTCTCCATTTCTCTAGTACCATTCAAGAAAAGTTTCATGGTTTCCCTATTTCTCGCTAATAAGTGGTATAATGGGTTTAGAATTCACTTGTTTGTGTAATAAAGTTCTTCCTGCACCAGTATAAATATGTGTCAATAACAAAACAAGTCCTTATAAAAGGTATGTTATTGTTATTTAATGTCTCAGGTTAATGAAACAGCTATTGTCAACTGTGGCTTTTACAGTGAGGTGGCAGGAGGGTTTAGGATTTCTCAAGAAGACAAACAGTATATGCAATCTTGCAAGGCCGTGGTGTCAACTTGTGCGTTTGGCGGTGGAGATAATCTTTACCAACCAATAGGGATGTCAGAGTCATCTCTCAAAAAGGTTCTTATCAAGGACTCATCATTATTGACTGTCTAGTATGAATTTTTCTCTGATTGCATTATTAATTCATATATGCAGGTTTGCTATGTGGCGTTTTGGGATGAAATTACACTTGTAGCACAACAGGCAGAAGGTTATACTGTTAGTAGTGACCACTATATTGGAACGTGGCGCATTATACTGGTCAAGAACCTACCTTTCAGAGACCAAAGGTTGAATGGCAAAATCCCAAAGGTATCTATTGCTGTTTTTTCAGTATGCTTGCTACTATAGATCTCTTAGGACTTGTTTATTTGGGGGATATTAGGAGGGAGGGTTGGTTATTGTTTAAATCCTTGCTGAATTACCTCTGTTTGTTAGCACATCTATCCAAAAATGAGTCCCCTTCAAAAACTTATTTTTCCCCCAAAAAGTGTCGAATTTGAACCAAAAAATTTAATTTTCACTTAAAAAAGAATTGTTTCAAAATAGTTATGGATGTTAAATTGATTAAAATAACAAATAATTTTAAAAGAATTGTCCAATTTTAAATTATGGCTAGAATTGGTACTTTCCTATGGATGTACCTTGCTAAAGTTAAAAGTAGTACTTTGGTGAAATACTGAAACATGACTTTTTTAGATGGATATGTTATAATGGTATATGCTTGGTTACTCATGTATATCTATATATATTATCATCGTCATTTTCATTCCAACCATCTAAATACAAGAATAAACTAATAACTAGATATCATCCCCCCTCCCTCCATTCCCCTCCCCTCTGCAACCCCCTAAACAAACACCCTAAGGCATCTCAATTGTTTCATTATTTATGTACATTGGATATATGTTTCTGCTAAATATATGTGTGGCTCGATATGTTCCTTTTTCCAATGCATAATGAACAATGACTCAATGAGGATTTACTTGATTTGTATACTAATCAGATGCTGCCACATCGGCTCTTTCCAAATGCAAGATATTCCATTTGGGTGGACTCAAAATCCCAGTTTAGGAGAGACCCTTTGGGTGTGTTTGAAGCCCTGCTCTGGCGCTCAAATTCTGTACTAGCGATTTCAGAACACGGGGCCCGCAGCAGCGTATATGATGAAGCAAAGGCTGTTGTCAGAAAAAATAAGGCTACCCCTGAGGAGGTGGAGGTACAATTAACTCAGTATCGCAAGGATGGTCTCCCTGAGGATAAAAGGTTCAATGGAAAGAAAGGTAATAGTTCTTTCGACTCGTTCTGTTCGTAGAGTAATTTTGCAGTGTTACAATATCAGATGAGTGTCATCCTATGGATACACAACAACAATGACAACAACAACGTTCAAGCCTTAGTCCCAAAAGAGTTTGGGGTCGGCTAACATGAAGCCACGTACGAAGTCGAAGCTAAAAAGATAAAGAGAATCATATAAAAAATTTAAAAAATAAGATAGAGATAAGATAATGATAAAAAGAATACGATAAAAAATCATTTTCATTTACCCCAGTGCCGCAAAGGCTCCCACCTAAGGTGGGGTAAGGGGGGGTCGGATGTACACAGTCTTACCCCTGTACTAAAGCACAGAGAGACTGTTTCCGGATGACCCATAGTGAAAATCGCGTCCAAAATTGCATGGACTGACTACTGCTCCATAACAAAGAAGCGCAGACAGTTTAGTGAGCCATTTTGCTTTATTCCATCATAATCTCAAGCCAAAAAATTATGAATCTTTGGCTCCATTGCAAATGATGGAAAAATAAAAAGAATACGATAAAACAGAAAAAATAAAGAAGATAAGAAGCATAAGAAAACATAAAATGAGATCCATCCTCCACACGTATATTCTCGCTCCACTTCGCTCTCTCCAAAATAATACTCTCTTCCAACCTAGACGTATCATATCTTTCCTGACCCCCTCTCATTCACGTCTGTTTGAGTTTTCCTCTCTCTCCACCTCTTCTCTCCACCTCTCAACATGTCTAACAAGTGCACAATGGGTCTTCTATGCACATGACCAAACCATCGCAATCAAGAGTATCGGACGCTATAGCGGCGCTGTTTGCTTTTCTTTGCTGCAGTTAGGTTTTTTCTTGGCTAAGTTTTTTTTTCCTGAGGTATTAAGGGTAAAGTAGACTTTTGAAAATAAATAGTAACCACTGTAAAAACCTTTTACGCACTAGTGTTGCCACACACACCTGATACGATGCCAAGTATCTGGTTCTCTTCTTCAAGAACAAGTATACGATCTGTGCAGCTTCATCTTCTACAAGAACGACAACTGCTACACTCCTATTTGCTTCTTTTGAGTATATTTACATAGAAAATATAGGGACACAATCACTTTGCACTTGAAATCATATTGCATGGTTAGTTAGGCATGGAATGTTAAAACAAAATTGCATATAAAGTATAAACTATTGTTCCCTTCAATTTCCAAAGTTAAAGTATTTTACTACTCCCCTTCACTCCTCATGTAAATTATTTTAGATGACACAGTGCAAACTGATTTAAATTGATTTAAGTACTCCTAAATTTTATAGAAAATCAAAGGGCATTAATTCTTAGCACTTTGCACTCGAAGTTTGATTTCACATCATACCAAAATGCCCCCTTAGCAATGAGTGCCTCCTTAGCAATGAGAGTGAGTTAAATACGTGTTGGGGGCGTAGCTCACTTGGTGGGAAGGGGGTGTCACTAGGGATAGGTCCTGGGTTCAATTCCAAGCAAAGACTTGGGCTAAAACCTCAATCTCTTAGTTTGTGATCAAAGCTCAATGTACTTCCTCCTAGATAATTGCTGGTCAGTTCTAGGGGGCCTCAGGGATGGGGACATGGGGTAATTATCCTTTTTTTAGTGAGCTAAATAGGTGAACACAAAAGTTAACCAAAAACTTGTGTGGGCAATTTTTTGTGCAGCGCTTGCGGAGGCATCAATTATAGTGAGGGAGCACAATCCAACTACTAATCTATTCATGTGCCTTTGGTTTAATGAGGTGGTGCGCTTCACATCGCGCGACCAACTAAGTTTTCCATATGTTCTTTGGAGGACTCTAAAGGTGATGAAGAATGTAATACACATGTTCCCAGTTTGCACACGAAAGGATCTTGTAAATAGCATTGGTCATGTTCGCAAGCCAAAACCTCTACTTACAAACTGATTATTCGTTTTGTGTTTAATGGGACATTTGTTTAGCTCCATTTTGAATAGTGTTTTCTTAATTAAAGCTACTCTTATCTCTGTCTTTGTTGGAATTCATTTTTCTTGGCAGTTCTTTGTATTTGTTTCCTTCATATTAGTCAGTTATTTCAGATTTATTGTTACTACGTACAATTTATCATTAGGTAAAAACCAAACTTCTCATAATTTTCTTAACAACGCTTATAGACAATTCTCCACACATCTCCCATGACTTGATTTAATTGGATTGTGTACACATCCCCTTATTGGTCCTTGAATTCTAGGTTCTCAACTTCTCATCTCATCAAATATTGTTGTAAATTAAACATGTAATGTTAAACAAGGGACCACTAAGAGCCCGTTTGGTGACCCTGTTTTTTCGGCTTATCAGGCTTATCAGGCAACGTTTTAACCAAACACGTAACCTTTGACTTCGCACGTTGAGTTGTGTAATAATAAGAAAAAGCAAGGTTGAAGTTACTTTTCTGGCTGTATTGGCTGAAGTTACTGTAGATGACCATTTAGCTATTTTTCCATATACTCCATCCGTCCCGGAATTATCTTCATTCTTTCCTTTTTGGTCCGTCCCAAATTTATCTCCTTTTTCCCTTTTTGGTAAAGAATATGTGGTTCACAACCATTCTTACACATTTCTCTCTCCTCTGCATAACTCTCCACCACACAAATTCCATCATCTTAAAACCCGTGCCCGGTCAAAATCGGAGTTAAATATGGGACGGAGGGAGTAATTTTTTCTTTATTTTATTAATAAAATATATTTTAAATATTTTTTCCCATAAATTAGCATAATCAGCCAATATAGCCACTTGCCCACTTCAGGCAGAAACTTCATAAATTTCAGCTGAATCAACCGATTTTAGTGTTACCAAATGGGCTCTAAATCTACGGTGAAATGACACACAAGTATTATCCGAAGGCTTTTGATAAGACTATGAGATCTATGAATTATGATCAATGGCAAATCTAGGGAATGATAAGTTTCCCTATGGTGAAAAAACTTGTCCTTGAATGATATTTTTGGCAGACGTTATAGTACTACCTTGTTCCCTCTAATATTGGGACAAAAGGAAGTGCTGTAGTTTTTAAGAAAAGTAAAATTATGTGTTTGATAATGAGTTGATAAAGTGAAAATAAAGTAAGAATGAATTAGAGCAACAGAAATGTTACCAAATGGGACAATAATAGATTAATAGGGGGACACACAAAAATGGAAAAATAGGATAATTATACGGGGCAGAGAGAGTAATATGTAAAGTTAGGCATTAAGAAATTGTTATGCCAATAATAAGCTCATCATTTTACTAATGTTCATGTCATGTACGCTGTATCTCACAATAATATGCATTGTAACTTGTCACAATAAAGTAACATTGCTAATAGATAAGAATTTGAACATTTTTTGGAGTGGTCTTTGAAATCAAAGAGTGCACTACAAACAAACAACTTAATAAAGGCAGTGTAGTAGAAATGTCACATGATTTATTGTGTTGACGCATTTGTCTCAAACACATAAAATATGAACACTCCTCTCGACATTGTAGGATGGTCTCTTGTCTAACTGTATCAAAGGCAACTGAGCCCATAGCCACAGTGAAGGTCCCTTTTGTAAAAAACAAACAAAACAACAAATCCAATGAAAACAAATTATATATGAATGATGACAGATTTAATATTTGATCGTGAGGGTGTTGAAATATGTGTCGCACAAGGCATCGGGTGTTGAAGTTTTTCTCACATATATTTAAACAGTGTATCAAAGTTGAATCATGTATTTTTACCCAAAAAAAGTTGAATCATGTATGGAAGTAATGGAACTATGTATGATGTTGTGCAAGTGATAGTAACTAGTAACGCAACTTCCAAGACGTGTTTTGGAATAAACCTTTAATCCTAACTTCCTAAGTATGAATCTATGCCCAGTTGATTGAAATTAAATATAAAAATATAGAGAAAACAAATCTCATTTTTGTAATGTTTGGACATGCTCGTCAACAATAATAATCAAGGATAATCATCAACATCCTTGAACTATGATGTGATTTGAACTTGTGACTTTCTTCTTGGAAGTGTCACAGTGATGTCATCAGATCACAAGGTACCTGACACATCTGTCACACATTGAACATTTCTTCACTCTTATATACGATGAATTGTAATAACAATTTCTAAATGCTCGCTCCCTTCGTCCCATAAACAACCGTTCACTTTGATTTGCACACTTTAAATTAAAGTACTTATAAGCGAGACCGCCAAGCCCAGCCAATCAAAGGGTGGCACGTGGCGTTCGCTGACGGGTGGACCACGTGGTTGCCTCAATTCTCATGCCAAGGTTGGGGCCCACAGAGGGGGTTTCCCCGCCCTTCAGCCACGACGAGCGTCAGACCTGGAAGGACTGGAAGCCCCTTACCATGGTGATAAGCGACGAGTGGCGGCCGATAGTGTTGGGCCCCAGTACATCTTGTAAGAATCCGTCAAGGGATCTCCAGACGGGCGTCGTCAAAACATGGATACAAACCACCAAGCTAGACGAACGAATATGATCTGATCAAAGAGCACAATCACCAAGCTAAATGTTTAAAGAGAAAACATGGGGTATTAAGACGAACGTCGTTAGTTACTTGAGAAAACATTGACGCATACAAAAGACAAGCGTCGCGTGATACTTTGCACATGATCAAGTATAAAGAAAAACATTAACACATGTAAAGGACGAGCGTCGCCCGATACTTTGCTCAAGATCAAACATGTACAAAAAACATGAACGCATATACGAGAAGTGAGTAAAGGCAAAAATGTATTTTTCATTCTTCGGCGCTACTGGCCGGAATATACACAAAGGAGAACAAAAGGCATAATACAATCGAGGGATGGGAGGGGTCTGCTCTGTCTGTTTCTCCTCGACCTCCTCATATTCTTCATCTTCAGTCGGTGGGTCGGGCTCCTCTCCCATGTCCCTGGCCCTAGCTTGATTCCGGGCCGGCTTGTCGGCGGTGTCCACCAAGACGATGTCATCAGTATGCTCAGCCATGGAGAATTTCTCGCCAAAGCCCTTGAGGAGGATCGGCATTAGGGCCTCAACGGCATCATAATAGCCTTTCGTCGAGCTATCCGACCCGATATCAAAAAGGAACCGGCGGCCGAGCAGAGTCCGCTTTAGGAGCCTGGTTCCATGCCCTAAGTGCTCCCTTTTTGTCTCCTAGGAGAGCACCTCCTCAAAAAGGTCATCGACGGCACCTCAGGCATATTGCTAAGTGGTGGCCTCGAACATGGCCATCTTCTCATAACCGGCAGGATCAGCACGCCAAGTAGAGGCAGTGGCATCAGCATTAACATGGGCGGTAGCCTCGGCAATTGCATTAGCATTGGCCTCAGCGCTGGGATCAGGGATGGGGTCAAGAGAGAATGAGATCCAGATCCTCTCAATGGCAGACACTTTCTCGAGAGCCGCCTCCAGAGCAGCCTGGAGATCCTTCTCGCGTTGGGCGGCCACCTCCAGTTGCAGCCGAGCAGACTCATAGGCCGTCTTGAGGGCCTCATCAGCTTTCTAGTTTACCAGAAGGGCGTCCTTGTTCCTAGAGGATTCAGACTACAGAATGTACACACCGGCCTATGGCAAAGAAGAAAAGTTAGAAACTAAAAATGGGGACAACGTGTTCAAAAGTGTGAAAATGAAGGTACCTGGAAGCAGGTCGTCAGTGCAGCTTCAACGGTCTCAGGAGACAATCGGGGCAGCAGCTCCAATCCCGAATGGACAGTGAATTCCGTCCATGCTTCTATAGCCAGGCATCCGAGGGAGGGCAACCTGGTAACCTGAGCAGCAGGGTCGGAAGGCTCGGTACGGGGCCTCTTCGGCTCCTTTTTCCTTCCTAGTGCCTGGCCGGTAGGTGACAGCAACCCGCATGCGTGACACTTCCTCCGCAGGCCCGGAGTCTGCTAAGTCTGCAACAGCCTTAGCAGCCCTTTCCAATTTCAATGCGTCATTCTTCAATTGTCAAAACCGGGCGGTGCGAGCCCTAAGGCCCTGTTTGGTTGTAGGTGTTCAGAGGGGAGGGGAAGAAAGTGGAGGATTTGTATATGTTTGTTTGAAGGAAATAGTGGGAAGGGGAGGAAAGCGGAGGGGATCCTCCACTTCCTCCCATTCTAAACCCCCAAATCGAGGTATTTCGGAGGAAACGTGTTGATTAACACAAACTATCCATCTCCTACGTGAATGAACAAAACGTTATAATATAAAAAGGTAAAAAACAAAAAGTTTTGAAAAATTAAAAAATTTAAAAATTATAAATTAAAAATTTTAAAAATTAAAAAAAAAATTAAAAAAAAAATTAAAAATTAAAAATTCCAAACTGAAAAATGAAAAATTATAAAATTAAAAAAGTAAAAAATCAAATAAAATAAAATTATGACTCATGATCATAAGAGTAATATTCACAATAGTTAGACATGTATCTATTTTTTTAAGTAAGCTATCAAATAAAAGCAATTTGCGAAAATATTTTCATTAAACATTTCCTTCTATTTCTTCCAATCAAACACAAATTTTTATCAAAATCCTTCCTTCCCCTTCCTTTCCCTTCCCTTCTCTCCTTGACTCTCCCCTTCCCTCCCCTCCTTTGAACCAAACAACGCCTAAAGGAGCTCACCTTTGAGGAACGGAACGCACGCCCGAGGTCTAAACGTGACTCAAAGGAATAACATTCCATTAACATGGGAGATACCTATCCCTGCATCGGCGAGCTCCTGGAAGGTGAGGTAGAATATCAGATGATCGGATCCACCCTCTTTCACTACTTCAATATTCTTCTCCAACTCCTCAGTAAGGCGTGGAGACCCGATCTTTGGGAGGTATCCATTCCACCGGTCGGGTAGCTGACCATCGGGGAAGCGGACAAAAAAGAATTTTTTTTTTCAATCATGAAAAGATGAGGGAGCCCCATGAAACAGTTTCCATCTCGCTTGGATGCTAATTCTTAGGAACTCGTCAGAGTTTTGGGGAGAGAACTTGAAGAAGTAATGGAACAAGTCCAAGATCAGATCTGCGGCGCCCTTCCTAATGCACCGAACGATGAAGGCAGAAACGAATCAGTAAGATTTTGACATGAACTGGGCGGATACGACCTGATAGTGGTGGAACACAGCTCAAGGTAGAATGGATTTAGTGGGAACTGCAGTCCGACCTTCAGGGAATCCAAGTCGACCATCACCATCCCAGGGCGCCTCTTCAGGGGTTTGTCTTTCCCGCACAGGCTATAAACGATGGGCGACGACAGATATAGTGGAAGTTCACAGAACGTTTGGTCAGAGAAAAACTGCTTACAACCATGGGTGTTCCACAGCGGCACCACATGGCGTTGGATGTCACGAGGGTTGCCCCTATCAAAAACTTCCAGATCATCTCCGGAGTAGGCCTCATTGCTGGAGTTAGGCCTGGGACCGGTTCGGTTCTTACTCAAAAATAGTGGAACCGTTATTTAAATTTTAACAAATGAAATCGGTTCGGTTCCTATATAAAAAATCAAGAACCGATATGGAACCGAACCAATACTAAACGGTTCAGTTCTTGCTTTTATCGGTTCCTAGAATATTTTTTTTCGTGTAAGAATTAACACATAATTTAGCTTCTACCGCATGAAAACGTCAAAAAGTCAAAACAAGTCATAAACATTTATTTAGAGTTCTAATCACTCCAAACATCAAAGCTCGGACTTAAGTGAACACTTAATAGAATAAAAAGAAGATTTTAATTTTCATTTAATACATAAAATATAAAAATCGTTCGTTATGTCGTTGAAATGAAGGTTGCTCATCATTATAGTGGCAAGGATAAGACATACACTTTATGCCTCTCAAAACCTAGAAATACATTGAGTTTGCATGTACATCCTATTGATGGAACAAAACTTGATTTGTAAAAATGAGCTTAATGTATTCAACTTCATGTGAAAATATTTATTATTTTTGTTTTCATAGATTAAACTAAATTAAAATTATTGGCTAAATATCATTTATTTATTATTATTGTTGTTGTTGTGTTTATTTTTGTTATATTAGTATTACTACTAATACTACTACTATTATTTTTGATTTTATTTTTATATTTTTAATATCGATTCCTTAACGGTTCCGTGCATATATTTTTTATAGGAACCAGGAACCGAACCGTTAACAACAACTAGGAACTGAACCGTTAACAACTAAATCTCATTTGTAGGAACCGAACCGAACCGGGTTATAATGGTTCAGTTCCAACCGATTTAACGGTTCCCGGTTCCAAAATCCTACCCCTAGCCGGAGTCATAATTTTCTGGCCGAGGCTCGACGACATCTCCTTGGGCGACATTTCCTTGAGCGTCATCAGCATCATTCCCTCCGTCCGAGGTAGTCAACCCGGTGCTACCAGACGTACTAGTTTCCCTAGAGGAATGAGAATCCGAATCGGATTCAAAGGACATGCAAGCTCCTGCGCGGAAGAAGTATATCATAGTGGGGATCGACTACTTCACCAAATGGGTAGAGGCCGAACCACTGGCCAGCATAACGGAATTCAAGTGCCAGAAGTTTGTCTAGCAGAATATCATTTGCCGGTTCGGCCTCCCAGAGTAGATTATAACGGATAACGGCCGACAATTTGTGAGCAAGGGCTTTGAACAGTATCTAACCAAGTGGGAGATCAAGCACTCTAGGGCATCGGTGGCCTAGCCTCAGGCGAACGGCCAGGTGGAAAATATGAATAGAACAATCATGGATGGAATGAAAAAGAAGCTTGAAGAATGTTCCTCCTCATGGCCCGATCAGCTCAACTACATTCTCTGGACATACCGGACGACCCTAGAACAGCTACTGGAGAAACACCGTTCACCCTCTCATACGGTTTTCATGCCAAAGTCCCAACAGAAGTTCTGGTACCAACATACCGAATGATCCATTTTGATCCCGAGCGCAACGAAGACACCTTGCGGGCAGAACTGCACTTCATTAAAGAAAGGAGGGACTTGGCCACGAGAAGAATGGAAGAGTACCGAAGGGCAACCAGAAGGTATTTTGACAAATAAGTCAAGATCCGGACAATAGAAGTGGGAGATCTAGTTCTAAAGAAAAGAGAGAAAAGCAAACCGCTCAAGAGCAGGAAGCTAGCGAAGAATTCGGAAGGCCCCTATCAAGTTTGGAAGAAGCACGTAACAGGGACTTTCGGCCTCAGGACAATGGAGGGCCGTTCGGTAGGCACCTTGAACGTGAAGCATCTACGTAAATTACATCAATAAAAAACGGGTGTTGCCACCTCTTGTTAAAAAAGAGAGAAAGAGGGAGACATAACTTCTTGCGGACAGAAGTATGAACGAACCGTTCGAACATACTGGTCAAAACCAGATGGATCGAATGGGGGAATTGAAACTATGGCTAAAAGCCTCATCTCAACCACAAGTATGGGCGAATCATTCTGGACGACCGAACGAGGAACCTCACTACAGTCTGGAGAAGAGCCACCATTTCAACACAGTTTTGGCCTTGCGATTTGAATGAGCGAACAGAGGTTTCAGGCTAGTTTGGGAGATGGTGTGAAACCAGCAGTATGGACGAACCGTTCGAACAGACTGGTCAAAACCGGGTGGATCGAACGGGGGAATCGAAACTATGGTTTAAAATCTTGCCTCAATCATTAGCTTCGACGAACCACGACGACTAGTTCAGAGGGCTTCAACAAGACACAATGACTAGATCGAAGGGTGGAATCCCAGCTCTGATTTTGGAGAAGAGTCGCCATTTTGGCTCCACGAATGAATGAACCGTTCCGTATGACCGAACGGGGAAGCTTACACGTTAGCTTGGAAATAAGGACATCTCAACCAACAGCATGGACGATACGTATCAGAAAACCCGAATGGTGGAATCGAAACTATGGTTTGGAAGATGACAGGTATCGGCCGATCGACATATAGTTGCAATAACGGGCATAGCTAAACAAAGGTCACGATCAGAAGAACATGAGACAAGTAAAATGAACTTGCACAAACAGAAAAATGGAATCTTTACTCATCGTAGCTACCGTTCGGGAGATACAAAGAATGTAAAATCAAAGCAATACAAGAAAGGTGCTAAACTAGATCGGCCTTAGATGAATCTAGCTTGGAGCTAGAAACTGTTAATAAAACACTTTGAGAAGCCCAGGACCTCAGGATCGAACGGCTTCGGGAAATGCTTCATGATCAGATCGATATTATGATCGACGATGATGTCCATGCTCTGAATAAGCGTGTCATCAGCAAGGGCCTCCACAAATGCTTTCCCCTCGGGAGTCTTGTCGAGAAGCTCTATCCCAGCCTTTAGGGGATCTTCACTTGTCCGAAGGAACTGACCGAGATGTGGAGCAAGAAACTCCCTAGCGGTGTTTTCCGGTGTGATGTTCAGACCCTTACCTCGTTGAAAATCAATAACCGCCTGCTGCGTGAGCTTGGAAGCATCAATAGAGAAGGAAGCAGGGGCATTCTTTTCCTTTTCGTTTGGACCTTAACGCCAGCTTCTTCAATAGAATTAAGTTTGGCTTTCAGGAAACTGATCTCCCGATCGCGTTGCTTTACCCTCTGCTTGCTCTCAGCCAGCTCGGCTGCAGCCTTGTTCCCTGTTGTTGCCTGATCCTGCAGATCGGCAACCATCTTGCTAGCAGCCGCAAGAAGGGTCTGGGCCTCATCCAGTTCTCGGGCCATGTGTGCCATATCCCGATCGGCAGCAAGAAAGGTCTTGTGATAGTAGACCCCGGCCTAGGGGAGGAGTCACAATATGAGAGATGGGAATAAAATTGTATAAAGACAACTAGAACCAGGAGAAGGGAAATACCTTGATATTTTCCACATGGCCTACCTCGATCAGGTCCTGCAGTGAGTCGGATGGGTGAAACTAGGGGCAGCCTTCAGAGCCAAGCTACACTAAAGGGAAGTGGCCGATTGCTCGAACCGGGTCTTACCCTCGGAAAGGGGGCCCATACCAGAGAATTCCAGCCGATCGGAAGTCTCGACATTTGTGGTAGCAGGCATGATCTTGCTGGAAGAGGAAGGGGGAGCACCCATTCTTGGCTGAACTGGATCAGAACCGGTCAAGTCCACCACATCATCCAGACGGGATCTCTTTTGGGTCGATTCTGTGGTACCTCGTGACTGAGATTCCTGGGCGGGCTTACCACTGTTGAGGGTAAGCTTTCCTTTTCCCTTCCCGACCGGGGGGGGGGGGGGGCAAACTAGATGAAGGACCCTGGCGTTTAATCTCAGACGAACAAACGCATGGTCAGTTTGGCACAAACAAACGCACCGAACGACAAAAGATAACGGGAAGTACCGATGCCAGCAGCAAGCATTTAGGTGGGCGTGACATAAGCCCAAATGTTTTGGGAGCCCGCCAGACGCAACGACTCAGCCTGGCTTTGTAGGACGGCGTCCAGGACTGGCTTCTTGTCCCGAAAGGGATACAAATTCCACACATCAGGAAATGGAAGCAGATCACCCACATGGATGAACAGAAAATGCTCCTGCCATTTCTCAAGAGGCGTGGGGTTCTCTGTGAAGAGATGATGGTAGGGCCGGGCAACCAAATGCAGGTACCCAGTGGACCAGTATGTCTCATACCTACAATGGAATAAAAACAAGTCTATGTTCGGAGGGATCCCCAAATCATGGCACCGGATAATAAATCCGGTGAGGATGCGATAAGCGCTGGGAACGAACTGAACCGGAAGCACTGAAAGCCGGCGTAGGAAGTCTATGATGAACGGGTGAAAAGGAAAGCGAAGACCGGCGACCAAAGCATCCAGATGCACCAGAACATGCCCCGGTCGGTGCCTCATCGGGTGATGAATGAAGCCACTGTAAAATTGCCTAGGTGGCGGTAAGAGTTGGGTCACTTGTTGGTTGACATCTGCTGGAAGACGCTGGTGTTGCTTCCGGATGCAATAGAAGTTTAGAGGAATGCGTGGAGGCCGCTCGGGCATTCCACGCTCGTATTTTTGAAGGTCCTCTCCCGGAACACATCCATCTTCAGGGAGGGACTGTTCGGCCTCTAGTGGAATGGGGAAATTGGTAAGAGAGTCCGAAGACTGGGAGGGAGAGTTGGTTGCCTGACCACTCGGGCCGGCCTTTCCCCTGGAGGAATGACGGATCAGAACCATGTCTTCCTCGTCTGAAGAGAAGTAACTGTACATAAGAGAGGAAAAAGGAGGTTTTAAATACCTCGAAAAAGAGAAGCTTGGAGAATTTCTAGAGAGAAAGCTAACAATAATGCAATGATTGGAGAAGCAACAGAAAATGATGAGGTACCAGCTTCCCCATATTTATATAGAAGGATCACCGTCCTGGAACCAAACCCAGGAGGGACACGTGGCAGGAGCTAAGTGGATTACCTCAAAGGTTGCAGAGGCATGCCGAACGGTCGCATAGTGCCGGAAAAAGTACCAAGTCCAAAGGACTTGGGGGAATTCCTGTGGGTGATTCAACAGCTAACGTAATGTCCCGAGCGACGTAAAATCTAGAAAGGGATATAAAGGTCAACTACATAACTTCTAATGTCCCGAACGACTATGTAATGCTGGAAAAAATACTAAGTCCAAAGAGCTCAAAAGTTCATCGACATACACAACAAAACCATCATGAACGGTAAAAGA